TATGTGGCTGGCGCCTTAGCCGCTTGAGCCACAGGCGCCGAGCCCACACTGTGCATTCTGAGCAGAGGAACCTGCAGCTCAGGGAGGTGAAAGGGCTCGTCTGGTTCAATTCCACAAACACTTTCTGAGCCTCTGTTACTAGATAGGTGCATTGTTTGCCACTGTGTCTTCAAAAAAGGCTGATAGAGGCAGGTTTATCTTCAAAGATTATGGAACAAAGTGCGGTGACCCATCTTAACCATGCAGTGTAATTTGGGGTGTCTGATGCTCCTCTGGCATTGACATGCACCCCTACCTGCTCCCCACTGACTGCTAAGCTGCATTTCTGTCTGAGACAGGTTGTCAGCACACAGCAAGCCTCGTAGCGACAACCATCCTCCAGTGACCTTGCTGAGGCATGCACAGAGATGTTCCCACATGTAGAGACAGTGGCTGGTGACACAGAGACACACACCACAGAGAATTGGAGCCACAATGTGCCTTAGAAATTAGCTCGTACAACACGTCCATCAGTGAGAGGGACAGAGGCAGCTCAGAGGAGGTCGCCCCATGGAGGACAGTGTCCTGATGTCGCCAGGGACACCTGTGATTTGGTGTCCTCCTGCCCCAGGTCTCTCTATTAGAGACACACTGTGAGGTCTCTATGGCAGAGACAAGGAAAGAGGCATGTTGATCTCATCCAGGAAGCCCCTGGGCAGGTGTCTCTGGCACACGGCATGGAGCTTTCACAGCCTCGATAGAAACTTCTCATGAGAGGATGCAGACATCTCTTTTTAGTCCCAGAGGACCTTATTCGTGAGACTAGATGCAGTGGCAGACATATTAGATGGCTTACGAGATCCCATGTCACCTCAACCACTCCTGTTCCTGCTGCCCACCGTGGCCACCCTGGCACAGGAGCAAGTGTGGTCAGAGCCTGGACTCGTGGGCTTTCCCGGGAGCTTGGTCGGGTCCTTCTCTCACGTTGAGTGAGCACGCTTAGCAGGGGACTGGCACGGGGACTCCGCCCCACAGATCTGAATGCCACCCTGTGCCCGGGCTTCATGGCTGAGTCCACTGCCCCCAACCTGTGCCTCCAAACGGGGACAGGTGTGCTGGGCAGCAGGACTGTGGATTCCACTCTGCTGGGCCAGATTTGGGTGAAGCTGGGAGGTGAAGGGAAAGGGTCAGCGGTCAGCTGGGTCCTTGCTCAGCAAGGTCATTTTCTTTTTTTACACTTCAAGCAGCGTGTAAGGCCCTTACAAACGCTTTCCCATTTAATGTCAGGGCTGCCCAGTGAGGTGATCACCCCATCGTAGTGGTGAGGAAATGACGCCCAGAACGACTAGAGGAAGGCACCCCGGTCAGGCGCTGGCAGGCGGCGGAGGTGGGCACAGACGCACACCGACTGATTCCCTCACTCGGCCTTGTCCGGTCCTAGGAATCATCATTTAGGGAGTCCCGGTCATCCCAGGGGCTGGTGTGTCTCCCCACCTCCCCATAGAGAGCTGGACCCTGACTGCATTAAACATTTTAAATCCGTAGAAACAAAGAATGATTCGTTTGTTCAATGTTGCTCATTTTTCTTGGGATTTTCAAGGGGTTACCAACTGACTCAGCTTGCTTGGAATTTAAAAAGCACACCACTTAAAAAACTAATTAAAACAATTTTTCTAATTTTATTGGAAAGTAGAATTAATTCGCAACAGATGCAGTTACCTTATAACATTGCCCGGGAGAAAGCTAGATCCAGGGACTTCTGGGGCCCTTGCCAAGTCTCCATCACGGGGACGCATTAAGCATGTCAGGGGCTCACGTTCAGCAGCACCAGGGATTGTCTCTGTCTCTCTTTCTGCTGTCGGTGCTTCAGAACCGGTGCCATCCACGTCGGAGACCGAATCCTCGCCATCAACAGCAGCAGCTTGAAAGGGAAGCCTCTGAGTGAAGCCATCCACCTGCTACAGATGGCAGGGGAGACGGTCACCTTGAAAATTAAGAAGCAGACAGATGGTGAGTGGGTCAGAGCTTCAGTCGGGGATCCCTCGCGCTTCCTTGCATGAGAGAATGTGCGGTGTCTGTGTGTCTCCAGGCAGATGCGTCTCCAGCCGTAGAGTGTTTGAGTGTCTTTTGATTTAAATTTACTTTGCCACTTAAACTCCTCTCCTGTCTGTAAAGCCCAGTCAGCATCAAGTCCCAAGAAGTTCCCCCTTGCCAGCCACATGAGTGACCTGGGGGACACCGAGGAGGACTCCCCTCCAGCGCAGAAACCAGGCAAGCTCTCCGACATGTACCCCTCCACGGTGCCCAGTGTGGACAGCGCCGTGGACTCATGGGACGGGTCTGCAGTGGACACCAGCTACGGGACTCATGGTATGTTCTTGCCCTGGGGCCAGAGGATTTAACTTTGCTGAAGCCTGTGCTTCTCAAAAATGTATCCTCTGCTCCATGAGGAGAGCGTCTTTATTTAACTGTGTCTGTGTCCGTGCAGCCATGTGGCGCCTGCTGCATACGCTCACTCAGTGGGCCTCGCACCTCCCCCGCAGTTGAGTCACCAGCATTGTTGAGCTGTCCAGACCATGCGGCCTCCTGGGGCTGGAGCCTGACCCAGAGCTTGTCCTTCAAGGCAAGCCACACAGCACAGTGGCTCACTGAAGTCAGGCCCTACTATCTTATTTTTCTAGCAAGCTTTCCCAAAGATGGATCAGGGCGTTCTGAGGAGGCGCATAAGAGATTAGCCAATGTTGCAGCTCCATTTATTCCTGCCTGGCTTTAGGTAGAAGTTTGTAGGAGTTTCCTTGAATACTCAGTATGAGAGAGTTGTGATCGCAATATAGGAAGGTATGTAGTAGATTTTTAATCATAGATGTCCTCTTCATGTGAAGAAATAATTATCTACAAGTCAAACCTTTTTCCCAGAATGTAAACACCTAAGAAGTGTCAGGCTGAATATGGGACATACACCAGCAGGTGCTTTAAAAACTGTTCCGTTCCCAGTGCTCAGAAAAGAGATGTGTCCACACCTCCCAGTGTCCCCGCCTCTAATGCCCTGTGCAGACTCAGCCTCAAGTGGGCCTTGTCCCTCCAGGGGTGAGGAGGCCACAGAACAGAGCTTGGAGAGGCTGTGTCCAGGCCGCTGTATCTCCAGCTGTGGCTCCACGTCCTCCATGTCAGGGGCGAGGGGGCCATAGAACAGAGCTTGGAGAGACTGTGTCCAGGCCGCTGTGTCTCCAGCTGTGGCTCCACGTCCCCCGTGTCAGGGGCAAGGGGGCCACAGAACAGAGCTCAGAGAGGCTATGTCTAGGCCGCTGTGCCTCTAGCTGTGGGTCCCCTGTGTCTTCTTCCTTCCTATATTTGAGTCACTCTCTGCTAGGTCCTATGGAAAAAAAAAGTGGAAAAATCAAAAGTAAATGGCATTTCAAAGTTAGACGTTATCAGAGGGGATATTAGAGTTTCGTGGCAGATATTTTAAACACCTAAAACAGAATTGGGGCTTTCATTTAGCTAGGAGTTAATTTCTCAGAGTCATAACGTCTTCTGACAAGTTAGCTGTGCCACCAAGTAACACACACTTCACTTGCCTGAGGATGAAGGCCCACTGGAGGACACCAGGAGGAGGACCCACATCCCATTCTCTCGAGTAGGGCTCTGCGGGGGATTTGTTACGGTGTGTTTGCTGCTGATTCGTCACTGTGGAGGAATTTTGTTACACAGAGGATGCCGTTCAGGGTAATGAGTTCTGCCCAGAAGGAGATGCCTCAGGACATGGCTGCGGGGTGGGGACAGGGCACGCGGAGTGCCCATCAGTCAGGGATGGGGGACCATTGTCAGCATTATTTGTGAAGCATCTTGAAAACTTGAGTAGCAGTCCTAGTAATATGAAATTTGGTCTTTACAGTTTGGAAGTCTCTGTGAGGCTGAAGGGATGTAGAGGGTGGGTGGAGATGATGGAATCACGGCAGGACCGATGTCCTCCAAGGTGATGGAAATGGTGACAGTCCCCCATCTGCAGAGCTCGTCAGAGATACGGGGCTGGTTCCTGTCACAGTCCCGGTGACTCTCATAACGAGTGTGGGAACTGAGGGCCAGTACTGCTGTAGGACCCCTGTGTCCGCAGGGGTCAGGAGTCACTGGCCCCACCTGCCCCTGCTCCAGCCACACACTCAGTGTGGTGGCAGCTCTTCCCCTCACTGAGGTGTCCCCCAACCACAGGCTGTGGCAGCTCAGAAGCTCCGGGGTGTGTTGAGCTGACATCTCCGGTCAGCCCGAGTCCAGCCTCTGGGTCATTCCCATCTGCACCAAGCCCTCCTGAGGATGGCCCTCACACGCCCGTCTCCTCTGAGCCACAAGCAGCAGCCCCTGGTCCCTTGTGTCCCTCCTACAGCTTGCAGGGTGTCCCTGTCACCCCGAGGCCTCTTCTGTGTAGCTCCAGCTCCTCTGTTCCCACTAAAGTACAGCCTTCATGAAGTCACATCCTGCAGCCATCTGACCGTTCAGAGCCCAGCACGCCTGTCACCTCCGTCACTGCAGAGTGGAACTGTCAGTGCAGCCAACCCCAAATATGAGTGTCAGAGGTCACGTCACTGTCACTCACTATGAGCTCACTGTTCCTCTTCTGGTGACACTGAGAGGTCTGGGTGGAGCTTGTGAGGTTGACTCTGTCAGGGTTGTTTTTTTTTTTTGGCTGGGGCTGGGTTTGAACCCACCACCTCCAGTATGTGGGGCCGATGCCCTCCCCCTGAGCCACAGGCACCACCCAGAGGGCGGCTCTTTCAAAGCGAGGCACGGAGTCGAACTTTTTCCTTTCTTGTTAAACGTCATGTCGTCACATGGTGAGATGTAGCTTCTCCAGGCTGCGTCAAGTCTGAGGGCTGCTCTGTTTCCAGCAGGACACTCAGCGGCACAAGGGTGTGTCCCCTCCGGGCCGGAGGTCAGTGTCTTACAGCCACTCTCGCTGTCCTGCTTGTTGTAGCTGTCACACATGACAGCTGGTACAGTGTGGGGCCGACACAGGGGAAACATACTCTCCGTTCACACACAAGAGGTCACTCAGCCGAAGGGCCAGTAACGAGCATCAAGCCAGCCTTACCAACAGCGCTAGGGTTACTGACCAGCTAACACGGAAGGAAGCGGGAGGACTGTTCACCTCTGGGAAAGGCAGGTGCCACCCAGCTCTGTGCCGCTCCACCTCCCGCCTCAGCAGTGCCTTCTGCCTTTGGCCCCGGGGTCTTCCTACTCCAGCTCAGAAAAGCCTGTGATTGCCTTGCTTGGATTTCCCAGAGGTCAGTGAGGAGAGACGGCACGTCGGCCGCTCCTGCCCGTCCCATGGCCTGAGCGCCTGTGTGATCCTTGACTCTGAACTCGGGCAGCTTTGTTTCTGTCTTAGTTTCTTGTCTTTTGAGGTCGTTTTAATCACTTCAAATCTCTTAGGGAAAAGAAACCTACTTTATCCAGGTTCCAAATGTATTTGCATATAGTTAAGGAATCTCTTATTTAATTCTTTTTATTTTCTTAGATTCTCTGATTATATCTCCAGTATCACTTCTTAATTGCTGTATTTTTGTGTTTTCATTCTTTTCCCACGTTAGATTAGCAGTTTGTTCTGTTTGTTTTTTCCTAAAGACTTGCATTTATTAGTTCTACTCTGTTTAACACAAATGTTTGCTTTTAATTCGATCCACTCTTTCATTCAGTTCCTTTTAGATTTTGTTGTTTATGTGGATTGGTTGCCTAATTTATTTATTTCCACTGTTTACTTCAGGGTGTTTACTTCCTTGTGTTTTCATGAGGACGGTGGTAACTGACAAGGACCCCAACACAAAGAGCACCCGACTTCCCTTTCCCGTAACAGAGGCCAGAGGGCAGCCAAGGCAGCCGCCTCCCCATTGCGGGGGTTGATTTTCCTTTCTGATCTCCACAGGCTTATGTTTCATCTCTTTCATTATCTCACCTTGCCCCCCTGAGCTCTTATATTTCTGTCTTGACCTCTTGTTTTATGAAGACAGCAGCTTTGCTGTGCTGTGTATTTTGACATTTTGGATGGTCTGTTTACTCACGTTTCTCGTCTGCTTCTCACAAGTATTTTTCATCTGCTGTTACTTTGTTTTTCTGTTCTTTTGCTCCTGCTTTTTTGATGTTAACCCTGGCATTCCCCTTATGCTAGTTCCTTTTAAATTATTGTTTACCATTGAGTAAGATGATGAACTGAGAAAGCAGAGCCCAGTGTGTTCCAGGCTGCTGGGCCTGCCGGGCTGACTGCGTAGCACACGTGAGGTCGCCTTGCCCCAGTACAAGGCGACCACCAGGCTGCTCACAGGCAGACCCCTCTCAGCCCCCGGGGAGGGCGACCACCAGGCCACTCACAGGCGGACCCCTCTCAGCCCCCGTACAGGGCGACCACCAGGCCGCTCACAGGCGGACCCCTCTCTGCTCCCAGGGAGGGCGACCACCAGGCCACTCACAGGCGGACCCCTCTCAGCCCCCATACAGGGCGACCACCAGGCCGCTCACAGGTGGACCCCTCTCAGCCCCCGTACAGGGCGACCACCAGGCCGCTCACAGGTGGACCCCTCTCAGCCCCAGTACAGGGCGATCACCAGGCCGCTCACAGG